CTGCGGGGCGGGCGGCGCCCCTTCCCTGCCACTAGGCGGCCCTTAGAGCTTTGAAATAAAGACCTGGCTCCTGCTTTGGTCTCCGACTGTTTTCTGTGGAGGAAGGGGAGGGAGGGAGGTGGGTTAGTCCTGTCTTCGGCCAAAAAGCCCAGATTCGCTGCTCTTTGCGCAGCTCGGAAGAGTGGCATCCAGCGAGTCGCAGCCCCGCGGCGGTTTCTGAACCGAGGGCGGGGCCGCTCGCCGCGTTACTAATGTAGTGGCGTCATCGACATGGGCCCCGACTAGCATCCCTATTGGACGGAGCGGCAGACGGTGACGTCATACGCCCTGGGACGTGCTAAGGCTAGGGCTGGGTCGGGAGTCGGAGCCATTACTGCCGGAGAAAGTCCCGCAGAGCTGAGCGGCCAAGATGGTGGGTCCCGGGCATCGGGAGCTTAGGGGGCTGTGGGGCGAGGAGGGGAGCCCGTGGGTGGGTGCGGGCAAGCTCGGACGCGGGGGTGGGAGGCCTAGGGCTCCCTCTGCCTCAGCTGCAAAAACGGGAGTTGTGGTTCAGTTTGTAAGGCCGGGATAGACTTGAGGTGCTCACCAACCCCTTCTTCTCCGAGCAGTGTGACTTCACCGAGGACCAGACCGCAGGTAGGCAGTCTCTGACCCCCAACTGAGGTCACCCTCACCGAGAGGGACCCCCTCTAGCATCTGCTCTCTGATGCCCGTCTGTCATCTCTGCAGCACTCCCGGGAGAGTGCCCCGTGGGTTTCCTCCTCCTCCTCCTCCTCTCTGGAGCCTCCTCCATTTTCTGTTCTCATCCTTTCTTCCTTCCCCTCCCACTCTAGATCTGAGCCCCAGGCACTGGGTGAGTTTTAGGTGGTGTGTGGGTATGTGGAACGACTTTGTCCGATTAATGCCTGCTGTGTGTCGGGTCTACTTATGCCTGTGTTTTGCCTCTTCTAATCGGCCACTTTTGCCTCTCCTGCTACAACTTGTCCCCTCCTTCAGCTTGGATTGTGTATACTGTAAAGTGCAGTGACTTGATATTTTGTGAAGATGGGGCCTGGAAAGTTTGTTAGGGATGTGACTTAGCTTCCCTCCTGGAAGATCTCTGTAAGAGGAAGGCTGGAAGAATGACCCTAGAGTCCCCAGCCGCCGCTCCTACTTCCTTATATGGACAGGACCCAGCCCGGGTGGTGGCAAATTCCTACGTAGTGTAGTAGAAGTGAAGCAGCTAACCTGCTGCAGGCTCAGGCGGTGTGTAAATGAATAGGTGGATATCACCTTGTGCTGGGCGGAAGAAGGCTGTGTGTCTTTATGCGGGACATTTGAGTTGGTAGAAATGCATCCCTGTGAGCAGTCTTGGGTGTACAGGAGGACAAGAGATCTGGTTTCTCCAACATAACTAAAGCTGGATTGGCCGGCAGAGCTCTGCAGTGAGGATGGGCTTAATCCCCCCAAGCTGTTGTTGTTCATCTGAACCCTTAGAATTCAAGGAAGCTTTCCAGCTGTTTGACCGAACTGGCGATGGCAAGATCCTGTACAGCCAGTGTGGGGACGTGATGAGGGCCCTGGGCCAGAACCCTACCAACGCCGAGGTGCTGAAGGTCCTGGGGAACCCCAAAAGTGATGGTGAGCATCTCAAGAGCTTAGTGTGCCAGTGGGCTTATGGTTGTTTGGCTAAAAGCACCCCTTTATCTTCATAGGGCCCAGATAGCCAGTCCCACAGGTTTTCCCTCTTCTTGCCAGAGTTAACAGTTTACTTGTGTTCCAAGGACATTTCTCTTGTGTGACTCTTGTCCCTCCTGTGAGGCAGAGATGAATGTGAAGGTGCTGGACTTTGAGCACTTCCTGCCCATGCTGCAGACTGTGGCCAAGAACAAGGACCAGGGGACTTATGAGGATTATGTTGAAGGCCTTCGTGTGTTTGACAAGGAAGGGAATGGTACCGTCATGGGTGCAGAAATCCGTCATGTCCTTGTCACACTGGGTAAGACTCTGTGACCTGGTCTGGAGCTGAGCTGCCACTTTGATATACCTCACCTGTCACCCAGTTCTAAAAATGCTCTTTCCTCTGCAGGGGAGAAGATGACAGAGGAGGAGGTGGAGATGCTGGTGGCAGGACATGAGGACAGCAACGGTTGCATCAACTATGAAGGTCAGTGTCGAACTGTGAACTGGAGCCTTTGAGGAGGAAATGGTCTTTTAGGCATGCTAGGGACAGCGCCTGAGGGGGTTTGCTCCTAGGCTTGGTTCCAAAAGGGAGACAGGAGTCAAGGGGCAAGGCCCAGTCCAGCCTGGGAGGGAGCTACTGGGGGGTATGATGGTAATGGAAGGGCTGTTGGAGTATCAAGGGTGGGTAGGGAATGGGAAGTAAACAGAATGTCTGTTCCCCCACTGCCTGACCCTTCACCCCATGTCTGTGTCTTGTCTTCACCATTAATGTCTCTTCCTTCCTGCAGCATTTGTGAGGCATATCCTGTCGGGGTGACGGGCCCATGGGGCGGGTACGGCTCCTCCCAGCCTCTCTAGTACTTCCCTGGTGTTTCCTTTTTTCCCCAACCTGTGCTCTCTAGCCCCCTGCCCATAGCCTACTACCAGCTGACTTCTTCCTGGCATGATTCTGCATGGAGCTGGCTCGGGAGGGAAGGGATTCCTCAATAATAAGGAAAGCAGCTTGGGGGTGTGGTACCTCCTTACTTCTCTCTGGTCTTTGAGGTTGGACTTACAGGGTCTTGGTGTTGGTGTCTGGAAACTCACCAGCTTGTAGACAAGGCCTGCCTTATGGTGGTTCTTTGGCCCTGGAGCATGGAGAGTTGGCAAAGGGGGGGGGGTGGGCTGCTTGCCCCATTCTGCTGCTATAACAGAACAGTTCTTTCTCTATCCCTCTGCTGGACAGCTTGGAGGTACCCTAACCCAAAACTGTCTTCTCCTGCCAGTGGCTGACAGTAGCTATAGGTGTAGTTGAGAACTTCTCTGCCTCTGCTGTGTTCTTGCTGCTCAGCGTGGGGTGGGGGACTAACAGCTGGTGGGAGGGGAACCAGGGACAGAGAGAACTGGTCACTCAAGGTGGCCCTTTTGCAAACTGACCCCAAGGCTGGTTGCTGTAAGCATGTTCCTCATACCACCTTCATGGTCTTGCAGTCTCCTGGCCCATGGTGTACCCTCCCCAGCCCTTTCCTTGGCTTACTCCAGTTCTCCTCTCCACAGAGCTTGTCCGGATGGTGCTGAATGGCTGAGGACATTTCCATATTGCAAGCCGGTGCCTTGCCCAGAGTGAGATTTCTATGCTATGTGGCCCCTCCTAGGCTCCCTTATCACAGCACCTTTGCCCATCTGGTCTCTTCTGGATGATGTTTGCCTTCACTAAATAAAATGCTCTCTTTTTTCCCTATTTTGGTTGTTTTCTTCCCTGAGCAGGGTTAGAGAGGAGGAAGCTGAGGTGGTAATATCTGTCCTGAGACAAAGCTCAATGCTGAGGGTTGGGGTTAGGGAAGCTGAATTAGTGCCAGTGGTAACCATGGCCTCATTAATGAAAGGCTCCCCTTTGGGGAATGAAGAAAGCCATTAATCCCTATAGGATCACAGCTAGCTACTACGTATTTGTGGGGGGAGGGCATTGTTTTGTTCTGTTCTGTGTCAGGTTAAATTTCTTGGTCCTAGGGCTTCTGTGAAACAGGCCCCTACCCTCTCAAGTACTGAACACCTTTGTGGGAAAGCCTGTGAATGTTTACTGGAACTAAAATGCCAGGACATATTAGTACTGTCACATCTGCAGGAATGGAGCGAGTAACAACAGAAGGGTGTGGGTGTGGGTGTGTGTGGGGGGGTGCCTCCTTCCTAATAAGGGAAGGAATGTAGCCACTGTCTAAAAGGATTTAGTCCATGCAGTAGGGATGTGCTTCCAAGAGCTATTTTCAGAGTAGGTGAGAGCCACTGCTGCTGCAGTGCAGTCCTAATTGCTGGGTTGCCTCTGGCCTCTTACGGCAAGAGACTGACATCTCCAGGCCTGTGGTAAATGTCCAGGGAGGGACTCCAGGAAGGCTGCCCCCAGCCCAGTCTGCCCCCAGTGCCAAGCAGCCACAGGTAAGAGAACACAGAGGCATCCACAAGATGGAACTAAAAGCAAATTAATTTATAAAAAAAAAAAAAAAGAAAAGAACAAAGAAAGAATTTTACAGAAAACTTTGAACAGAAGAAAGATGCCAAGATGCAGAGGAAAAGAAACACTGGGACAGGAGGATCAAAGGGCCTGGCAGGAGGACCAAGCATTGGTGTAGAGCCTGGAATCTTGTCTGCCTCACAAAGAGGGTGAAGAGGGAGACTGGAGTGGAGAGGCCCTGGTGCCCAGGGAGCACAGCCATGCCGCGCTGCTCCCAACTCTCTGTCCTCATTTGGGGACCGCCTAACTATCAGTGAGGTTCTGCCAGGCTTGGCAGGAGAGGGCAGAAGTTAGCAGAGTATCCGTCCCACTGTCAAAAGTAGGTGTTTAAGTGCTTTTCAAATTTCCAGAGTTTACAGACTGCCCATCCTCTTAGAGCTCCCAATGATTTCCATGTCTTCTAAACGCTCAGAAACAACCAAGGAAAGCAGGAAGAACAGCCCTCACCATGGCCCTTTCTTCCTCTATTACCTACCACGGAATCCCCCCCAAAATACATTTCCCCACCAAATACACATACACTGACATCAACTAAGCAGGTGACTTTTTAAAAACAAACACAAAGCTGACATTCAGAGGGAAAGGTCATTGGCTGAGCTGGGGTGGCCTAAAACAGCAACAATGACGAAGCAGCAGGAGGGGTTAGCGTGAACTGGAATGGGTAAGGGGCTGACTCAGTACTACCAAGGGGCTCGGGGAGACAGGCTTGGTACCCTATTCCATCCCCACAACTTGCCCCCAAACTTTAATTCCTCTTAAAACCTGCCCTTCCCCCTTTAAAAAAAATGTTTTTTTTTTTTTTTGTGGGCTCCAATGTGTCTTTTTAAAACCTCCCTTTTTAAGGGCTGCGTTTTCATGTTATCCACTTCAAGAATGCAGTAAGTCTGAAGGGAGTGTGCCCTCAGAAGTGGTTAGTAGAACCTCGTAAAAGCATCTTTCCCTAGCCCTTCCTTTGAGGGCACCATCTCCATCCTATCCTCCCTCCCAGGCATTAGAAACATCTTTTAGTCAGAAGTCCGTGGATAAGAACTGGATATAAAACTGCACACCTCTGCTGGGCATGGTGGGGGCGGTGAAGGGGCAGGAAGAGCTTTCCTTACGTAGTGCCGAACTCTCCAGGCTGAGGGAGGGTCCCAGTAGTGGGGGAGGGCTGTTCCTGGAACTGTGATCTCCACAGGGAGTGAGGGGGAGAGATGGCTGGCTGGCTCCTCACTGTGGAGGTGGCACAGGGGTGACTGTGCCTGGGCTTGGAGCTGTGGGGTCTGGAGGCAGGGGGGTGCCTGGGTCTGTGGAGAAAAGGAAGACAAGTGAGCTGGAGCAGGCAGAGACGGCTCCATCCCCAGACTCCACGCACGCACGCACGCACGCACACACGCGCACACAGAGAACTGGGCGTGGCATGCAGTGGGCGGGTAGATGAGTGAGGTGCCCACTCTGTGGAACTTCTTTTCCCAATACCCTTTAACACCTGACACTGGGAAAATCTTCTCATACCCCAAACCATCCTCCTGCCCCCAAGGACTCTAAATGGGGCATCTGAATGTGGTGGGAACAAGCAAAGGAGTGCCATCGTCATGCAAATGGGTAGCTAGTTTCCAGGTTTACAGCTGAAGTCCTCTGTGCCACTGGACTCCTCCATGACCCACCAGTGAAAGGCCCCAACGTCATCCCAGGGGTGGCAGCTGCCAAATTGGGAAATGGAGGACAGGCAGAGAGGCCCTTCCTCCTGTATTCTAGTTTTACCAGACTGTTGAAAACAGTTGTGGAAATCCTAGCATCTAACCCTTCCCCGCTTGCCCTCCCTCCCACCGTGTGGAACCCTCTCCCTCACCCTTCTCCCCTCCTGGCCCCTTCTCACCTGGCAGTGGACTGGCACTGGGCAGGAGGTTGCCCTGAACAGCTGCCACAATGGCAGGGCTCTGGGCTGCGGCGGATCCGAGCCCCGGCCCGAGAGGCAAGGAAGATGGCATGGTGGTGGTCGCCGGCAGGTTAGGATGTAGAGGGTTCGCCATGGACACAGGCAGGTTAGGTGGGGGGATAGTGCCCGGGGCAAACGGGAGATGGTGGTGATGCCCATGCAGGTTAGGAGGAGGGGGAAGGTTAATACTAATGGAGTCAGCTAGACTACCAAATGGGATGATGGATGGAGCAGCAGGAGGAGGAGGAGGCGGCATGCCAAAAGGCAAACCCAAAGGAGCATTACCCGCCACGCCTGGGTGCCCGCTGCCTGGCACTGCCCCTGGCATCATTGAGGGAGGAGTTTGTTGGTTGGGGAACGGTGAGGGGCCTAGAAACAAAGAGGACAAAGAGGTGAGAGGTGAACCCTTGCGTACCAGCTCCAGCCTCACTAGCCACGAGCTGGTGCCACCTCCCCTTTTCCTGACACTAGAATAAGTGGTAAATTCTTGGAATAAAACCCCAGATATCTGTTTGGGAAAAATCCCTGCTGGTTTGGGGACAGAATATAATGGCGCCCACCTGTAGAAACTACAACCAACTCATCTCTGGGCCCATCAGGTCATCCCTTCAAGAAACCAGAATGTTTGGCTGGCTCTCTACAGCCAACACACACTGCAGAACTCATACTCACCATGGGGTCCAGGGGGGGGTACCCCTGGTGGGACTGCCCCAGGCTGGGGGGCTCCAGCTGCTTGTGGCTGCTGGGGCCCTGCAGTTGTCCCTGCCTGCCCGGTGTGTTCAGAAGGACCCAAGCTTCCAGGAGGGGCCCCACTGCCAGCAGGAGCAGGGGCCACAGCTGCTGGAGCCACGGCTAGGCCATGGGCTGTGGGTGGCCCGGCAGCCCCGGCTGGGGGCAGAGCTGGCTGCTGCTGCTGCTGCTGCTGCTGCATGTGCTGGAAGTGCTGCTGCCGGGCCCTCATCTCTGCGTACTTCAGCTGCTCCATGTGGAAGGCTTGTCGGTCGGCCAGGAGCTGCTGCCGCTGATACTCCAGCTGCCAGTGCCGACGGAATACTGTTACCAGGTCCCACAAGATACTTGGGCAAATGCCTCGGCCCACTTTCTCTTTTCAAAGACCCTATCTCTCAGCTGGTGTTTCCCCAAGACCGAACCCTTGCTTCCTTTGTCCTCTGCATCCCACTCTTTTCATGCCTCCTCCCGGTATCCACATCCCTCTTCACTGCATGTTAGCAGATATGGTGTGGTTCTGGTTCATTTCAATCCCAAAACTCTGAACCTGTTATTACTCATTTCCAGTTCCTATCAACTTAAGTTTTCTTCCTTCAAAATCTGCTAAAAACTTACTGTTCTTAGGAAGCATTCCCACATGGATACACTGGCCCCTTGAATTTTGACTTTATTCTGAATCTCCCAGCACATAGTGTCCCTCCCCCCCGCCCCCCCCCCC